CTCGATGCTGTGCTCCTTGAGGTAGGCGTTGCGCTCGCCCCCACAGCCTGGCTCCACCTCGTAGTCCCCGTTCAGGTAGTTGAGTGTGGCCTTGGTGATGTGGATGCGTCTACAGGTGCAGAAGGAGGCGGGACAGGAGGGAGAAAACGTGAATTCAGAGCTCTAGCTGCCAAGCAGAACCCAGATGCACCGACTCAATCCCGATCCAAAGTGCGGCTCTGAAGCCAACCCCAGCTCGATCCCCACTTGACGTCCTGTTTCCCTCCAATGTCATCGAATGGCTCAGGTAGGGTCCGTCCCAGCTCGCGACCCCCCGGCCACACAACCTCACATCTGTGGTACATTGTTATAACCACACAACACGTTTTTACCCGGCCAGGAACACAGCCTGCAGGCTCAAACTTTGCAAACCTGGCCAGGAGCCAGCAGGGGCTCCTACTGACTACCGGCTGCGTCCAAACCCCCATCTGGCATGACTGCCCTTCTTAACACCGCTTTTCCCATTGGTCCCTAAAAAGCCATCTGCTCTACTTCCATTCCTTGGACGCAATATGTTTTCCTGTCCCATGTCTGTCTTCGCCCCACCCCTCAGCCTGACACTCTCCCTACCCCACCTTCCTTATCTGTCCAAATCCTGCTCTTCGTCCCGACCAGCTCATCCCACCTGCTTTCTGCCCTGGATACCCCAGAATTTATCTGTGGGTCCTCCCTCCTCCAGAGCTCTGCCCTACCTCCCGCATCTCACCAGCCACCGCGTTTTGTGTAAACAGTTTCTGGGTGAAGGCCCGGGAAGCTGACCTGATGCTCCCTACCACTTGCCCTGGTGTCCTGTACGTAAATTGTCAGGTTAAATAGTTTCTGCTTAAACTCTGCCACCCCCAGGGTTTCAAGCGTCTCCATCCTGCCCACTCCAGCCCTGCCCCTCACGCCTGTGGTCCTGAGTGAGCCTGGGGAGGAGGCTATGTCGGGGCCCTGCCCACAGCCCTCACTCACCCAGCCTTGCCTCCAGCCTCCATGTGGTTGGCCAGCGTGACGTCGTTAGACCAGACGTCGAACTGCCACTTCCTGAGACCAAGGACACCGCAGTGTACTCGCCCGCTGTGAATTCCCACGCGCATGTTCACGTTCACCCCTGTCACCTCCCGGACCAACCTGGGGATGGAGCAGGGGTGAGGCTGGGAGAGGGTCATGGGCCGGGCACACAGAGTGGGGGTGAGGCTGGAAGGCAGGTCAGGGGATGTGTCAGAAGGTGCAGGGGTCAAAAGTCATTTCTCTCTAGGCCAGTCCAAACCCAGTCTGAGACCCTCCAACCTGCAGGGCGGGGCTGGGCGTTGGAGCTCAGCTGCGAACTGTGAGGTGCTGCTTCCTGACTTGGCCACAAGGTGGCGTGACACCTCACACTAAAACCCAGGCCCCTCTGCTTCCTCCGACTAGGGCACCAGGAGCCATTGCTACCCTCAGTCCATGACATTGTGTTTCGAAAATGCAAACGAATATTAGTGCCAACTTGAGCCCGACGGGGAAGTTACAGCCAATACATACCCCATTCATATAATGCTCTTGGCTTTATCCACATCGCTGGCCAAGAGAGGAAAGGTGGGTAACTGAGGACATGCGTCTGCCAGGAAAGAAGGGAGCCTAGGCAGGGGTAAGGACTAGGTGTCCCCGATGGGCTAGAAGACAGCTCCAGTCTCTGCTGCCCAGGGGGTCCCCAATAGACAGGTGGCCATCCAGGGAGTAGGTCAGAGATTGTATCCTCTGTGGGGAAGGGAGTAGGACAAATGCTATCCATCTCCAGGTCTGTGTCTGGGCCCAGGGTCAGGCGTTCTGGGGTAAAGTACACAGGATGCACGTTTTAGGGACCTGGACCCTCCCAGACACGCTGGGGATGAGCCCACTTAGCCAGCTGTGGGCCAGCAGTCTGACTTGGCGGGCTGACCACAAGGGCTCCAGCCCACCCCACCAGGGAAGATTTATGTCATCCATCACTTCTCTTGTCCTGGGACCAAGTCTGCAAATAGTTTACTGGAGCCATTCCTTTCATCTGGCCTCTGGCCACTTGCTTAGGTTGGTGCTATCTCATTCTACCTTTCTGGCTTACCTCCAGGGCCACCTCCTCCATGCAGCCTCTCTAGGTCTTTTCAGTGTAATCAATGGCTGCCTCCTTCACACCTCCCACCACAGTGCACCTCTCTTACCTGGGGGCACGCCTGGGCTCAGGGCATGGAGCCCCAGCCTCTCTCCCTCAACGGACTCCACGCTTCCGGGTGAGGGACCCACTGGTGAGCCCAGGCCCATGGGGGACTGAGCCAAACTTACCGGACCCAGCCACTTCTGGGCCAGCGACTCCGACCTCTGACCTTGCCCCCTGTGGCTGTCCCTTTGCCCCTGCCCAGGCTATGTCTAAAGTTCAAAGTTACTGAACCTGGATGCAATCTCTGACCTGCTCCCTGGGTGGCATGTAAGCTTGGCTTGTTCAGGATTTCTAATGACCAGGGGCTCCTTCTATGGCCAACAATGACCAAAAACTGGCCCAAACCCTTTCTGCCATATTCCCAGGATGGATGGATATTCTTAAATGGGAACACCTGTGTTTGACACTCCCTGCCTAGGAATATTATTACCCTGGGGAGCTATTCACCCGTGAGCCCAACCTTTCTCATCTGATAGAAATGCGGGGGGTGGGGTCCTATGCCCACCTGGGTGATGGTGAGGACACAAGGGACCACTGCAGGGCAAGGCCCCCACACGGCACGGCTGCGGCTTGTCCTCCGCTCCTGCAGAGGGGACCCAGCCCCTGCAAAGCCCTCCCTTCCTGCAGGACATGCTCCCTCAGGGGAAAGCCTCCCTGGCTGCTGTGGGTGAAGGGAGCCCAGGCGGAGGCTCAACACCTGCAGGTGCAAACCAACCCTCCCGTCAGGCCAGGTGGTCCTCGGGAGACGGCTCTGCCCCACTGTTTCCGGACTCCATTGGTCCAACCAGGTGGCCAGTCAGTTATGTGGGCTGTGGGCCAGTCCGTCTATAGACAGGCGGTCTCCCAGGAGATGGACAGACCCCTGAAGAGAGACAGCGCCCTGAGACGGACAGATTCCCTGCAGATGGGCAGTCCTGGAGACGGGCACTTACGAGATGGCCTCGATCATGTCCATGCCCATCTCCACGCAGCAGTGGGCGTGGTCAGCCCTCGCTTCAGGCAGCCCCGAGACGCAGTAATAACAATCCCCCAGGATCTTTATACGTAAACAGTGATTCTCCTGGAAAGCAAATTAATTTTTAAAATTAAAAATAGCAGGAAAGTGAAGTGGGAGGGAAAGAAACGGGAAGCAAACAGATTCACTCCATGCCTGGAATAACTTGCCTTTTAGGGCAGTGAGCACAGACCCAGTCCCCATGAGCGCCCCGTCCTGGGACAGGGACAGGCTTATCAAAAGCCCCGGGGACAGAGGACAGGCTGAGCAGCCCTCAGGGAAGCATTCCAGCCTCCCCAAGCTTGGGAACTCACTTTTAGGGGTCCCCCCTCCCTGGGTGTCACTTCCACTTTGTCCCAAGGTGGAAGAGTCCTCTCTCTGGAAGCCCCTGGCGGGTGTGTGTGTGGGGGCCGGGGTTGTGGGGGAGCAGGCTGTCTGCAGGTTAGCTGGGGTCCAGACTCATTCTCCGATCACTCACCAGCCTCACCAGGAAACGGCTCTATGGCACCTCATTTGTCCCATCAAACAAATTCCTCGGGAATCAGGGCAGTATTACCCACAGGGCCTCAAACCCCTCCCACTGACGGAGGGCTCACTCACAGCATCTCCCACTGAGTGTGTGGCCGGGGCTGATGCAGGGTGTGAGCACACTGCCACCTGCGCCAGTCACCAGTTCCCAACAGCAGGCTCTGCCAGGCAGGGCACACCCTGGCCCCGTGCCCGCCCCTGGAGGTCATCGGGTCCTGCCCACGGGCACCCTCGCTCAGGCAGCCCAGATCAGGCCCTCCCGCTGGCCCTGGCGGAGGCACTCTGGTGCGGAGGGCGCGGGCGGGCGGGGACTCACCGCAGCCAGCTTGTCGAAGCGGGCAAAGAGCTCGTTGAGGGTCATGACCAGCTCCTGGGCAGTGCACTGGGACGCCAGGCTGGTGAAGCCCTCGATGTCAGCGAACAGGATGCTGGGGAGACAGGCGGAGGAGGACCCCAGTGAGGGAGGACGGGCAGGGGGACGCGGCCAGGGCCACCCTAGGCCTCAGGCCAGCACAATCCTGGGGGCTCCGCCGCTGCTGGGGAGAGAGCCCACGGAGGCCCAGCTTGGGGACCCGAGCATGCGGACGCTCCCTGCTGCTCAGGAAGCAGCTGCAGTCCTCTCTGGGTTCTAGCTGCTACCCGGGAGGAAAAGGGGGCCTGAAGGGTGTGTCGGCCGGAGTTTACCACAGACCCAGGCCCCCATCCTCATCACCTCTTGGGCCTGCTCCTGCTGGACCCGGAGCCACCCCTCAAGGTGGCTGGGCCTGGGATGGACCGAATGGCGGCCTCATGAGGCCTCACTTCATGCACATGGGACTCCAGCCCCGGGCTCTCCATCCCAAAGAAACCCTCTAAAGCAGCGGTTCTCAACCTGTGGGTCGCGACCCCTTTGGCGGTGGAAGGACCCTTTCACAGGGGTCGCCTGAGACCATCCTGCATATAAGATATTTACATTACGATTCATAACAGTAGCAACATTACAATTGTGAAGTAGCAACGAAAATAATTTTATGGTTGGGTCACAACATGCATGAAGAACTGTATTAAAGGGTCGCAGCATTAGGAAGGTTGAAAACCACTGCCTTAGTGTATACATGGGTCTCAATAGCTTAGTCCATCCAGTTCCTCCATTATTACTGGTCACGCAGAGGATAGCCAGGGATTTCCAGTTTTCAATTATGGGCATTTTCTTCAGCTAAAATCTAATGCAAATTAAGGTGGAGCTGATTTAGTAACAATGAAAATACACCCTGCATATCAGATATTTACATTACGATTCATAACAGTAGCAACATTACAATTGTGAAGTAGCAACGAAAATAATTTTATGGTTGGGTCACAACATGAGGAACTGTATTTAAATGGCCAGAAGGTTGAGAACCACTGCTAAAGGGACGAACTAGAGGAGGCTGAGGGGAGATAAAGGGGGACACAGCCAGGAGGCATCTCTGAAAGCCCAGCTGGTCCCCACCAGCTCCTTTGGCCTCACCTACCCCCCACCCCCACCTCGCCCTGGGTGCCCACCAAATGCACCAGCCGGTCCCTGCGTGGCACACTGCGGAGCTTCTATGCTTCTGAGGCTCGTATTTCCAAGACTGAACATTTTTGTTTCATAAAAATGACCAGAGGTGAGGACCCAGGGCCAGATGTATAAGGGCCCCTAGAATTTTTTTTTCTTGAAATGGACACACAGTCACTAAACCCAGTGACTCTCACGTGCTGAGCTACTCCCAGGCCGGCATGGGCTCGTTGTGTCCGTCTCAGGGAAGAAGCCGGAGACCGCGGCAAGTCAGGCTCCCCCAGGCCTGTGCTGCTTCCACACGCCCCAGCCCCGGAGGCTCCAGAACTGAGCCCCGCTCTAAAGGAAGAATGTAGGACTAAACATATGTTGTCACTTTATTCTGAAAATGTGTGGGTGCCTTAAGCATGTCTTTATTTCGCGTCTGACATCTGGGGCCTTGCTCACCCTGGGGAGCCTTCCCTCCGGCAGCCAGTTCCCGGAGTCAGCACCTCCCCTCAGGGTGGGCCCCGCCCCCCGCCCCAGTCAGGTTCTCACACCCCGGCCACCAGTCCCGGCCTGAACCACCAGGGACAGGTGCCAGACACGGGGCAGTCCTAAGCCCACTCACCCCGTCTCACCTGTTCCTTCCACAATGAAGGCTTTGCCCACATTTCCCCCTCATTCTGCCTCCTGCCCAACCCTGGTGCCTCCCTGCCTGGCCCCCAGGACATGGTGTGCCCTCAGCCCTCAGGAACTGTAACAAACTATCTTTTCGATGGAAATCGTCTCCCGGCTCACCACATCTGCATACTAATGAAACCTACATTTAAAAACATTTGGAAAGGAGGGGGGGGGAGACAATGTAATACTGTCAACAATAATTATTTAAAACAAAACAAAAAGTTGGACACTGTTCTAATCACTTTACATGAACTCATCTAAGCTTCTTTTTCAGGAGAAAAAACAGGCCCAGAGAGGTTGAGTCACCTACCCAAGGCCACACAGGCAACTTAGCTCCACAGTCCAGGAGTTGGACCAATAAACAGTACGCTGTCTGATGGCCCACAGTCATCTTAAGGAAATAAAGGCATCTGTCAGTGGCCTGGCATTATGTGCGGGGCAGAGGGAGGCGAGGGGCACATGGGCTGTTGTAGGTGGGCACACACTCAGCGGCTGCTTGACAGCTCCCGAGGGGCAGTGGACGCAGGGAGTGCCCCCTGGGGCTGCAGCCAGGCTGTCACCTCCCAGGGCAAGCACGGGAGCGCAGCCCCAGGTGCTGAACCCAGTGCTGTTTCCTGGCATCCAGGGTCCTCTAGCCACTCAGATCCCAGCCTGGATCAGCAAAGACAACTGCAGGAGGAAAGCCAAAGAGAGTGGGGAAATGGGGGGACACGAGAGATGAGACAAGTGAGGGGAAGGAGACAAAGTGGGGAGCAGGAGGAGCAGCGGGGAGACACTGTCTCTTCAGGCCACAGGACTCTGGACATCAGACAGCTGCTCGAGGAGCGGGCAGCCGCGTGCGGAGTGCTCAGAGATGAAAGGCAGTCGGGATCACCAGCACGCTTTGATGCCTGGTGTCTGACATGCAGACAGGCTCAGCGCCGGCCCAGGGAGTCTCGGGCTTGCCGCACGCTGGCGGGAAAGGAGCGAGTGAGGGAAGCTAAGGGCTCCAGGTCTTGCTCTGGCTTCCTCACCAAGTGCAGACCCCATCCTGGCCCGCCTGCCACTTCCCGAGCTCCGTCTCTCAGGCAGCAGCCCCACTCCGCCCAGGAGGCGGGAAAAGGTCTCTCCTCGCCTGGGAAAAGCACCCTCACATCGCTGTCCTGGACATTCTTCTTTGACTCAGGAAATCAAAGCAAGTCGGGGTCAAAACTGGCTGCTTCAGGGTCAAGGAGCACGGTCAGCTGGCCTCACGATTTCGAATGCACAGCCAGTGATGCCAGGCCCAGGGGCTGTTCCCCTCTGGGCCCACGGCCGGTGAGACCCCACAATAGGAAGGAAAAACGTCCCTGGGCTTGGCAGAGGCCAGATAAGAAGAAAGAAAGAGAAGGAATTGCCTGGGGAGCATGAGGCAGATGTGTGTGAACCAGGGGCACCTACCCAAACTCACCTAAGTCACTCAAGGCAACACAGGGGTCTGTCTGCCAGGCATGGACACGGCCAGGCCTGGGCCATCCTCCTTCCCGACACGTGCCCTCGCTGGGCCACAGGGAGCACTCACCCTGCTAGACCCGTGGTCCTTAGGCCTGGGGCCTGTCAGAACCACCTGGGAGCTTTCATAAGGAGAGGTCTCAGAGAGACCTGGGGTGGGGTTCTGCTACTGATTGCTTTTGTTCTGCTTTATTTTAAGCTTCCCTGGTGATTCTAAAAGGCAGCCAGGGTTGAGAAGCCTGTACTAGTTCAAAGGTCACCCTCCCAAGGCAGCTTCCACCACCCTATTTAACTCTACAGCCCCTCCCATGTCTCTCTCCCTTCCCTGCTCGGCCTTCCCCCTGGCGCTTTTCACCATTTAATATACTTTTTATATTACTGTGGTGGTCACTTATCATTATGCTCCTGTCTGTCTCTCATACTAGGAAGTGAACTCCTTAAGGGAGGGAGTTTGGTCGATTTCATGAACTGCTATATCCCAGCCCCACACCACGTCTGGCACAGAGTAAATGCTCAATAAAACGTTCAATGGACTGACCGAATAAATGAGGAGAGGTCATGTCTACTTGCCTTCTGCTCTATCTGTCCCCACCCCAACCAACCATATACATCTAGCACTATACCTAGCACACAGTAGGTAACAAAGTACCATAAACTTTGGCTTAAAACAACAGAAATATATTCTCTCACAGTTCTGGGGCTAGAAGTGTGAAACCAAGGTGTCAGCAGGGCCATGCTCCCTCTGGGATTCTGGGTACAAGCCTTCCTTCCGCTGTCTGGTGGTTGCTGTCAAGCCCTGGCCCACAGCTGCTCCACGCTCATCCCTGCCTGCGTCCTCACGTGGAATCCTTCCTGTCTATCTGTCTTCACAGGACAGGCTCCTCTTCAGATCAGGACACCAGTCGTTTTGGATGAGGCGCCCACCCTCCTCCAGCCAGACCCCTCTTAACTTGATTTCATCTACAAAGATTCTACTTCCAAGTAAGGTCACACTCACAGATACCAGGGATCTCAAGATACCTTTTAGAGGGACAAAATTCAGCCGGTAAGGGTCTAATATATACTGGCTGAATAAAAGAGAATAGTCATCGTTTCAAAGCAACGAAGCGGCAGAACCAGCAGCTCTAGTAGCCCTTCCTTCTTCTCCCCGGGCCTCCGAGAGCCCCAAGCCTGCCATCTGAGACACGCACCTGCAGAGCCTGGGGCCCGGCGCCCAAAGGGGCTCCAGGAGATACTGGACACAGAGGTGTGTGCCTCCTGGAATCTACTCTTCCAAGGCCCCTCCGGGACCCTCAGCAGCTGCTGAGGAATCGGGGAGGGCAGGCTGCTACAGCTCCTGCTGTCAGGAGGTAGGACAGAGCAAGCAGCCAACTGGGCGGAGGGGGCTCAAATCAGGGCTTCTACCCCACATGGCAGCGTCGACAAGGCCTCAGAGACCCCAACCCCAAGCCCTGCAGCCTCTCCCACACGTCGTGGAAACACTGCCACCTCCACATCCCCCCGCCCCCCTCGGAGTCACACTCCCCTGCCATGGGGGGCGTGGGGGGGGGGCGGTCTGCTCAGTGACTGTCACTTTGGGAGGCTCCTGCTGGACGAGGGTTAGCCAAGGCAGACTGTTCACTGGCCAGCGTCCATGCCCTGCTCCTTGGTCATTCTGAAGGCCGTTTTACAAGCAGCTGTGCCGTGAGGTGCTAATTCATCGATTAGCTCCCACTTGAGAGCTTGTGTTGGCAATGTGCGCTGAAGCCGGGCAGACCCACTCTGCTGTGCGTGCCT